TGTGTTGCAGTGAATCCATAATGGTCATAACCTTTAAAAAGATAGTGAATTTTCTATTAATAACCTGATTATCCTCAGGCCTCTTCAGCCTGTTGATACAAGTGAGTCAAATTGCTCTGGCCCCCACATTTTGCTGGTTCTAAAGCCTCAGTGCCAAGCTTCAGAACTTCAGCACCTTCCTCCCCCCCAAATTTCCCTAGTTACTTCCAGAAGTTCTTTATGCTTAGGACTAGTTCTTCCATATGTTTCTGCTCTGTCCTCTCTATAGGTATCTCCTCTGTGCCAGCCACTTGAGGGAAGTACCTGCTGCTGCCACTCCTAACTCTGCCCTGTGAGAACCCTGCCTCCGAGTACAGGAGGTATATCTACCAGTATTCAAAATCTGTATATAATCCAAATAAATTTCTTGCTAATTTTTCCTGCTTAGTTGGTCATATATACAGAAAGCTACCACTAGTTACTTCAAGTAATCTGGGTCATATATACAGAAAGCTACCACTAGTTACTTCAAGTAATCTGACTTTTTAGCAGCACAGTTATCTTAGTCTGTCTTCTACTACTACAAAAGAGTATCACAGACTGGGTAATTTACAAACAATAGAAATTTATTTCTCAGGGTTGTAGAGGCTGGAAAGTCCAGTATCAAGGTGACAGCATCTGGTGAAGTCCTTCTTGCTGTATCATTCCATGGCAGAAGACAGAAGGCCAAAGAGTGAGCGAGAAAGAAGGGTAAAAGGGCCAAAGTCATCCTTTTATCAGGAACCCACTTTTAAGATAACTAACCCACCATGGTGACAACAACAGTAACCTTAATTACCTCTTAAAGGTCCCACCCCTCTCAACACTATTGCATTGGGGATTAAGTTTCCAACACATAAACTTTGGGGACACATTCAAACCATAGCAACAATCTATGCCTTTGTTGGAACTGCATGTAGTTCAGGAAGAGTGCTGGTTTGGAGGTGGGGTAAGGGTAGTGAGAAGCAAGTGGCAATCTCATTTTTGTACAATCCCCTGCTCTCTTTTAAGACATCCTCTGAATTCCTAGATCATCACTAGAGAAACACGGAAGCCGTTGGTTCCTCAGCAAAGAACATACAACCTACGTCTACCAGCATGTAACTGACCAAGTCTTTTCTGGCTAATGTGCCAGTTTTGCACACTTCTCTTGGATGACTCCTCACTGTTTGCCCCTAGGATTTATCTTCCAGGATGCTATCCTTCTCCAACATGTAAAAAGAAAACAAAGGTCAAAATTTCTGGAAACTAAGGATCTACTTCGCCCTTATGCAAATGTAAAAAGGGAATGAGAAATCCTTCCATTGCAAATTTCCCTCCAATGTCTGCCCATATTCAAAAGCCAAAGTTTGTGAGTTTCTTTCCCCTTCATCCTCTAAGTTTAAAGTCTGGAAGAATTTCTGGAACAACTGATGGTCCTGCAAGCACTAGAGGAAAAGTCCATTCTCTCGAACAAAATACAGTGTTTAGGGAATCCTTGCTATTCTATGTAGGCCTTTATATACACAACCCTCATGTTTCCTCCATTACATGTATCAACTCGTACAAATGAGCACTTCAGGGGAGATGGATATGGCTCTTCAGACAAAACCAGACCCTGAATCTTAATCTGAGTACTCCAGGACCCATGCCACAATTATACACCACCAAAGAGAGTGAATAACAGTAATAAGCTCTAATGTCAATTTAATGCACTGATAGTATGTTTTGGCTTCAGAAAGGAAAATTCTATCCTCTAGTATTCTTAAGTATTTTTTAAAATTTAATTAGTCCAAATAGGAGGGCTGCTGAAAGGAAATGTCATCCTGGTCCTAAATGAAGATCAACTTAACCACTGAAATATGAACTTATAGCAGTAATGCTTGCTGCTGTAAACTGCAGCCAATATTCCTGTTCATGCTAGAGAATATCTATGGAGAAGTGACTCACTACATATATTATTGATGGAGCTGGGTTATGATGTAATCTAGCAGTGAAAATAACTTGCAAACTGAAATCAAATATACTATTCTGGCTTTCCACAAGAAAAGACCAACTACCGATTTTCTTCTACTCTTGTAAGATTCTGACTGGAAGAAGGTTTTAAATATACACTTTATTTTCAGGCTCAAATATTTAAACATTTAATTGGTGTTCAGCTAAATATCATAGTAGTTGAATGTTAGGGAAAATGCTTAAATATTAGAAATAAAGCCCTAAAGAACTCCCTAGGTTAAATCTAGCAGTGCAAATAACTAAACTTCAGGGTGAACTGTCAGTTCTTTAGAAGCAATCTGACTCATCAATGTGGATTTTTTACAAGTCAGTATAATCAGAAAGTTCTATATTGATCATTCATAATAAAAGTCAAATGGTTAAATCTTCTATATTGATCATTCATAATAAAAGAAGTCAAATCTGCTACCATTTGACTAATCACTTCCAGATTTGAGTATAGGTCACTACAATTTAACTTTGTCCGTTCTCAAACAACCCAGACCTAGTGAAGGGTATAGCTTTGTTTTTATATTCAAGTTTCAAGAATTTATTTATAAAATACATATAGGCTTCTAAACATCAAGAGAAAAAAATCATTTGATTATACCATTTATCTTGGATTGGTATAAATCCATCTCCCTTATTAGAGAAATAAATCATAGTTCATTCTTTACTAAAAATGGGTCAACAATATCTTCCTTAGAAACAAAGAATGGCAAGCCATTATAGGATTACAAATAATTCTCAAGCTCTTTCTTTATAGGTTCCTGAATCAAATATTTTGGCTGTTTTTAGTGCCTAAATAAACAGCATCAAAAAGCTTTCAGATTAAGATGGACAGTTTTGTGAGCCATTCTATGTAATATAGATTATTTCATTGTCTAATCTAGAGATGTTTTAATTCTAAAACTATGGGGTGATAAATGTGGTATTTTATCTTAAAAGGATAGTTTATACAAACAATTACTTAGAGTCACTATAAACTAAATTAAATTTCATTTGATAGATTTGTTTTTTCAAAATATACGTGTTGTTTTGTATGTGGTTATACATGAGCCTAATAAAATGGATTGTTCCCTTGTGCTACTTACTTGTCTGGATTTACTCAGGAAGTCAGAATATCACCACCTAGGAGCCCTCATCCAAAGGCCATGTCTTGATTTGGTATCTGGAAACCAAGTCTCTGAAAAGGTCAGTTCAGTTTTGCTATGAGGGAAAACCCACTCTATAAAAAGGAATCAAAGCTTAACAAAAGACTTCATATTTTGAAGTGAAGGATGAGAAACTATATAAATAAGAAAATAGGTAGTAAGGTCAATGGCTAAAATAATATAGAGAAGGAAAATCAAATGCAAGCTCAAATCTGGCAATTTAGAATCCTAACTTTGAACTGATAAAGTTCCAAATTCAGAGATGGAGTCTCCCTCTGTTGCCCAGGCTGGTCTCAAGTGATCCTTCTGCCTCAGCCTCTCTAGTAGCTAGAACTACAGCCACGAGCCACCATACCTAACTCAGGGATTTCTTTATCCTTCAGTATCAGATTTCAAATAGAAATTCTGGTTCAGAGTCTGGGAGAGTTCCCCAAATCACCAGTGTTTCTACAGGCAATGGAGGAAAACTCTACCCTCTGGAACAAACGGTTTTCAGGGAGTGCTTGCTGCCCTTTTCAGGCCTTTAAACACATAGCCAAATCCTCCATCAGTGTTCATGTTTCCAAAAAAAAAAACAATCCTAATTTTTTAATCTAAGGAAGCACACCACTCAGGACAAGGCATTAATAAACACCACTGAGTTTCGTGAAAGGGTTACTGGATATAAATCCAAAGGAGGGCTGAAGTTGATTTGGATGCACAGCTGGATGCTTCATAGTAGCCACACTGGCATGTGTATGGCAAATTGCTGAAATTTGTTGAGGATCATATTATGTTCCACAAGATCATGTTTGCAAGAACTACGAGATTGTCCAACAAAATCACTAGAATCTAAGGTTTGCTCAATGATATTCCCTGGGAATAGGTAGACATATAATGGGCTAAGTGAAACCTGACCACATGTCCTTTGATATCCTGATTGTTCCACTGTATAAACTACAAGCTTTGGGTAGAATACAGGGATGTGGTGGGTTGTACTCTGACAGACCATTCTTCTTTACTATGCAGACCCTCTCCCACACAACTGGTAACCCTGAATGTGGGCTGATATGCTTTTATAAATGTGAATGGATACAGGAGGGAAGGCAAAGGGGTCAGAATATGCACCTGTAAAACTAATCCACGCTGTCCATTTGTATACATCTTATCACTTCTCCCCTAAATTTTCAAAATTTGACAGTCTTTGCTTTTATTAAGGTTAAATTTGGGAAGCTATTATAGATTTACTCATTCTCCTCCTCTCCCTCCCCCAAAATAACAGAACTGTGACTGGTTAGACTCACTTTCCAAGTTCTGCCATTTCAGGTCTCCAGCACTTCACTGGGATAGTGTCAGTCACTACTGCACTCAGCGTTCTGTGGCGCCTTCAAATCCACATTACAAGTGGCGCTGGGGCCCCTTCTAGGTAGAGATGATGAGGAAAGGGACAAGCCCAGGAATTCTGAACCCTCTCCCCCACCCTGGGGTAGTTATTCATTTTACGTACTGGGCTTTTTCATAAATTTCTGTTAGCAAAAGGGTTCAATTGATTTTCAAGAGTTTGAAAACCGCTGAGGTAGTTAAAACAGGTACCAGAAAACCTGAAGGCCCACGACTTGTCACTTACTGTGGCAGGAGAAACTCGACAATAATCTCAGCACTGACTACCTCACAAGGTCCGGGTGAAGACAAACACCACCACGAGCGCAGACGGCACCTCAGACGAGCTAGCAGGTATTGCGCGGCCTCCCGCCTTCTGGCCGGAAGTCCCGCCTCCGTGACCGTGTACAAGCCCCCCACCCGGAAGTGGATGCCCACAGGCCAAGGCATCCATTCCATAGGCCAGGACGTCTACAACCCTGCCTAGGCTGCTGTTCTACTGACCAAGATATGGATCTATCCCGCCTAGAGTCTGGACCCACCGGTCAAGAGTCTGAGCCTGCAAGCCTAAATTTCGACTCTGCTAGCCAAGATTATTTCTCTACTGGCCAAGAATTCGATTCTCCCTACCAAGAATTGGACCTGGACTCTCTTAACGAAGATATTTATTCCCAGTCCATGCCAGATCCCATGACAAAGACCTCTGTGGGCACATATGAGTCCCACCCGACTTCTGAACCGATGGCTCTGACAGAGGCCGAGCAATTGGAGCTCAAATCTGAGCTCGCTAAATTGGAGGCAGAAATCGTAACCCTACGCCAAGCGCTGGCAGCCAAAGAGAGGCGCTGTGGGGAGCTCAAGAGGAAGTTGGGCCTCACCACCATGGATGGACTGAGACAGAATCTGTCCAAGAGCTGGCATGATGTCCAGGTCTCCAACACCTACGTGAAACAGAAGACGTCAGTCGCCCTGTCCTCCATGAGCTCTGCTATCTGCAGGAAGTTTGGAGACATGAAGAAGTCGGCCACATTCAGATCTTTTGAAGGTCTGATGGATACAATCAAGTCCAGAGTCACAGGGGGCAGAGAATTTGACAGCGATTGTCTTCCTTCTTCAGCAAGGAGTGGGGATGATTTGCTCCCTGTTTTGGGGATTGGGGATGACCTGCTCCTGGTTCCAGAAGGTGGGAATGATCCGCAACCAGTTCTGAGGAGTGGGGATGACCTGTTCCCATTTCTGGAGCCAGAATGAGCTCCTTGGTAATCTTGCCTGGCTCCCAAACTAGTGCAAGAACCCCCTTCCCTCATCACATTTGCAACTCTGCGCAACAAAAACAATGAAACCACAATGGTAAAGTTAATTCAAGAAATAGACAGAGTCCAGTTTTGAGAAAAGTAATGCCCATTTGTACATAGATATTTGCTGCTGTCGAATGAGAGAGAACCTAATGTTTTATACCTGGTTATTTTACACTAAAAAAAAAAAAGTCATACTTTGAGTTGATGTTTTATATTTTACACTAAATTTTGTAGATGAAACATGTCACTATGCTAGCTTTCCTGGAATTGCATTTAATGGACGGGACAATCGCTCCAGAGGGTTCTTAGGCCAAAACCCAAACTCTCTTTTGGAAAAGTAATCTATTAGAAAGCCAAAGTAGACTTCTGTTTAGAACTTGGAAAAGTTATGAAATAATCTATAGTTTTATCCCTTCCCCATTTTCTTCCTTCCTTAAGTCTAATGTGAACATAGTTACCTTCAAAGCTCCATCTGGCCTACAACTTGTATTTTTAAAAGATGGTTTTAAAAATGCTGATCAAGAAGATGGTTCATCTTCTCTGAGACCTCCAGATAGGCAGAAAATATATTAGTGGACTGATTGTTACACTAATAATATATATTTTGTGAATTTTTGTTTGTTTGTTTTCAAAGCTCCCAACTAAGCATAGCAACCTTAGGTTTAATTTAGGAGGTTGTTACTACTTTGGACACAACCTGTAATTGCAACTTTACTTTACCTTGTGCTTTATCTCTTTATATATCAAAATGAGGGCTGTAAAAGTTTAGCCCTTGTGGCAGCATGTCTCTGCCATAAGAGTATGCCACCTAAAAGGAAGAAAATTGCTTCCTTGTCCTACCACAATTCCTAGTTACCACCTCCTGCTGAGGAGCTGGAGGGAAACAGTATAGCCAAATTCAAGAAAGTTAACACCCCCCCACAACCCGCCCAAGCAACATTTTTAAAAAGACTGTCCATCTCCTGTGATGCTGGTGATTATGCATTTGAATGGACCTAACTGATTATACATCACTGCTGTGTTTGACAGGAAGTTTGTCCTTGTTTCTAGCTAACCCTGAGAAGGAAACAGAATCCAACCCTCTGGAGATATCAAGACTATAGGAATCTGGTTTGGGTTTGTTCAAACTTTCTGATATTAATTTTAATAGGAACTATGATTTTGGGGTGGTTATTTTTGGTTTTGTTTTTTTCCTTTTCCATTCTCAAAATGCCAAGATCTGGTAGCCTCTTTTATTCCTCTAGTCACACTGCCTGAGGTTGAAGTTTGTGTCTTATTGGCTGTAGGCAGAGGGACTAGGACATTTATTTGCTTGGGTACATATCAGTAACTTCTCACTACCTAAAGGTATCCCTCCAGATTAAAAGGGTGATCCTGTTTTATTAATTCTTTAAAATTCTCCCTCTACATTCCTTTGGTTTTCCTACAACCAAAACCAAATACCACTATAAATGCAAAAGCACTTGGCAAACTATAAAGTCACTGGTTTATCCCAGCCTTCCACAGATGTCTGAAGACAACAATTTGCTTGGATTAAAACAAGATGTTTAACTATTTTACACATTTGTTTTTTAATTTGTTATGTTTATCAACCAAAATGGCTTTGTATGCTGACAAACAAGAGGTGAAACTGCAGCACACAAGAAGTGAAAGTAGTTCAACAGAACTACTTTCACTTAACCTTAAATTTCAGAAAGGCTTGTGTTAAACCCTGACATCATGTGCCAAACTCAAAATATGTTCTATTTTATTTAATAATTCATACAAATGCAGTAACAGTTTTCCCAATAAATTCTGAACTTTATGAGAGCAGTAAAGCACTTATCTATTTTTGTTGATCATTGTATTCCCATGCCTGGCTGAGAGCAGATGTTCAATAAATACTCATTAAATCAATGAAGGAATTAATATCACATACTTTAGACACAAAATGTTGGATCCAAGAGATTATCAATTTGAACTAGTTAATAAGTTCCTCCTGCTTTAAACAAAAATGTTTTGTTTATTTAAAGCATTTTGAATATTCAAAGACAATTGAAGACCCTACTATGTGTCAGGAACTATGCCAGGCCCTGAAGACACAGAGTGAATTAGACATGGTGATGCTCTCTAGAAACACTCAGATCTTGGCCAGGTGCAGTGGCTCATGCCTGTAACCCTAGCAGTCTGGGAGGCCAAGAGTAGAGGATCCCTTGAGCTCAGGAGTTCCAGACCAGCCTAAGCAAGAGCAAGACCTGTCTATACTAAAAATAGAAAAAAATTAGCCAGGCGTGGTGGTGCATGCCTGTAGTCCCAGCTACTTGGAAGGCTGAGGCAGAAGGATCCCTTGACCCAGGAGTTGAGGTTGCTATGAGGTAGACTGATGCCACAGCACTGTAGTCCAGGCAACAGAGCGAGATTCTGTCGGAAGGAAGGAAGGAAGGAAGGAAGGAAGGAAGGAAGGAAGGAAGGAAGGAAGGAAGGAAGGAAGGAAGGAAGGAAGGAAGGAAGGAAGGAAGGAAGGAAGGAAGGAAGGAAGGGAGGGAGGGAGGGAGGGAGGGAACAGATTTTAAAATCATCACAATTCACTACAGTAGGTGCTAAAATAGAGCTGTGTCCCAGAGACAAAGGAAGTCTCGAGGGGTGTTAACTCTAGTTTGGTAGGTCAGTAAAGACTTCAGAGAGGCAGAAAGTCTTAGAGAACTAGAAGTGTGCTAGACAGACAAGAGTACATTCCAGACAGTATCCAGAGGAACTGAGTCATGAAGAAGTGTGTAAGAATGGCATGTTCCAGGAAATACCAGTAAGTCATTGTGGCTAGAGAGGGCAGGGAAGTGGTGATAGATGAATATGGAAAAATAAGCAGGGGCAAAATCATAAATAGTCTTATATGCTGCCTCAGACATTAGTATTTAATCCTGTAGGAAATAGGGAGACATTGAATCATTGAAGTAAACGTCTCTATCAAATTTGTGTTTTACATGTGGAAATAACATTCATGAGAAATCAACTAGTTGGGGGGGAGGGGAAATGTGTAAATTCACACCTAACATGTATAATGCACACTATTGGGGGGTGGGCACACTTATAACTTCAACTCAAACCATACAAAAGCAATTTACATAACCAAAATGTTTGTACCCCCATAATGTTCTGAAAAAAAAGTGAGACCAGAAAAAAAATAATGAAAGATAATGAATTATGACAACAATGACAGTTCTCTCACATTTTTGTCATATTAAGAACTTGAAAGCAAGGTTTGATTTGGTTTAATTATAAAAATTATTATTTCTATTAAAATGAGATGCTATAAAATAAAGATGTTAACCATTTCAACCAAAAAACGAAAAAACCAAATTTGTATTTTGGATAGATTACTCTGGTCACCAGAGAAATAGATTGAAAAGTATTTCAGAGGTAGAATCTCCCAGACTTAGGTATCAACTGCATGGGAGAGAGAGATGGATACATTTGTAAGACAATAAGGACACAGAATTGAAAAGCTTTGCTATTAATGAAGTGGGAGCCACACATTCATTTTGCTTTGGCCATTTTATTGGATCAGTATACCTGTATCAGTGGCCATGAGTGCCAAATAAAATGCCTCCACAAACGTGAGGTCTGGCTTGAAGGTTTCCTCCAGATTTTCTTTTCTGCCTGCTTTTACCTTTCCTATGAGTTGGTTCTCTTCATTCTGTACCCTATCTACCTTCATAATTTGATCACCTCTGCTTATCTGGGCCTCTTTGATCTTGTAGCCTAGCTTCAGTCTATTTAACTCAACTATTTCAAGATACAATTTCTGATAGTTCTTGGAACATATGTGCACCCAAAGATGTCCATCCCTAGGTTTGGCTCAACCCAGAACCATTGGATAGGAAGGGTAATTGGAATAAAATTCCCTGAGGCTCTCAGTTTTCTAGGGCTTCTATTGCCCATATGAATGAAAGGGTCGAGATGGAAGATAGAGACAAGATGCCATGGCCTAAATGTTTATATCCTCCCTGACTTCATATGTTAAAATCCTAACCCCCACAGTGATGGCATTGGGAGGTAAGGCCTTTAGGAAAGTGATTAGCCCTCATGAATAGGGTTAGTTCACTTATAGATAAGCCCAAGGGAGCTTCTTTGCCCTTTCTACCATGGGAGGACACAGTGAGGAGGCACCATCTATCAACTAAGAAATGAGCCCTCACCAGACACTGAAACTACAGATGCCTTGATCTTCGACCTTTTGATTCCAGAACAAGAGAAAGAAATTCCTGTTGTTTATAAGCTACCCAGTTTATAGTATTTTGTTAGAGCAGCCTGAATGAACACGAGGGTTGAAAATTCTATCCTCCACAGATGACACTCCCCATGCTACTGGCAAGGATGGGGATAAAGTACCAATTCTTGTGTTCATTAGCATCATCCATGCATCATAATACTAGCACCACTCCCAAAGAGATTCATCAGCATCTTTTGGAGGCTACTATGCTTTCTGATCCATCAAAATACTAAGTTCCAGATCTGAGAGAAACTATATTTATCACATATCCCACTCTTGACTTGCAGGCCTACGGAGAAGTAAGCAGTGACTATTGACCCAGAAATGTGCAAGTCTCTCTTGACAGTGCTAGGCTTAATGGCCCTACTCATCAAGGGGACAATGATGGCATGTATTGATTCTCCTAAGGAATGGGGTCAGTTGCATCTGGGCCATGAAATTTTGGTTTCTTGCCTATGAACTCTGTGAAGAAAAAAGGATAATCACTGCTCTATCAAAATGACCGTAGAGAGAAGATTCTGGGAAAATGATGGAGTAGGAGGCACAAGAAATCTCCCTACCTAGAAAATAATTGCATTGCAGCAGAATCAATCTAACTATTTTTAAACTCTAGAATCCTCTGAAGGCTTGAAACTTCCAGGGGAAGGTTTGAACAATAAATTGTGTTTGCTTTTGGTCAATTTTAACTCCTAGCACAGTAGCAGCTACCCTTCTCCAAACCCAGCCCTGTAACAGGCAAATATCCATATGTTCCCAGAACAACCTGCACAGAGCTTATGAGAACCAGGGTTGGCAAAAAGAACCCTGTTCTCCAAATATTAGAGATCTGTGTTCTGACCATTAATTCCTGCTTTTGAGCACAAATACATTACAAAGAGGTAGGTGGCCATTTTGTTGCACCTCCCCCTATTGTTGCAACCCCCTCCCCCACTGGCTGAAATGACTTCCAAGGGATTTAAAGGTCTAGTGTCCTTCTCCCCCCATCCCTTCAGTTTTCTCTTTTCCCCCTTTTCTCCCCCCACACATTCAAGACTAGGACATTCAAAAACAACTGCATATTTAGTGAAAATTAGAAAGTGACTGTACATGCCCAAGTAAAAACAAAAGACCTGAGAAGACCTTAAAGTCATACTTCAGGCTAATCCTCAGCACAGAGATAGCATATAACACTCAATAAAAACAATCATAAAAAAATCAAACTCTGGGAAAGAGGGAGAATCAAATTTCCAGAGTTATCACATTATTATATTCAAATATCCAGTTTTCAACAAAAATATCACAAGGCGTATAAAGAAATAGGAAAGTCTGGCCCATTCAAAGTATGAAAATAAACCAACAGAAACAGAAAAATTATGGATGATATGCTAGACAAAGACCTTAAAACTATCTTAAATATGCTCAAATAACTAAAGGGAGATGCAGAGAGAAAGAAAATGATGCATGAACAAACTGAAAGTATCAAAAACGATATAGAAAACCTAAAAAGAAACCAAAAAGAAATTCTGGAGCTAAAAAGTACAATAACTGAAAGAAAAGTTCACTAGAGAAATGCAAAGGCATATTTAAGAAGGCAGAATAAGGCCAGGCACAGTGGCTCTTGCCTGGAAGCCTAGCACTCTGGGAAGCTGAGGCAGGAGGATTGTTTGAGCTCAGGAGTTTGAGACCAGCATGAACAAAAGTGAGACCCCATCGCTACCTAAAATAGAAATAAATGAGCCAAACAACTAAAAATAGAAAAAATTAGCCGGGCATGGTAGCACTTGCCTGTAGTCCTAGCTATCTGGGAGGCTAAGGCAGGAGGATCACTTGAACCCAGCAGTTTGAGGTTGCCGTGAGCTAGACTGACACCACAGCACTCTAGCCCAGGCAAGAAAGTGAGACTCTGTCTCAAAAAAAAAAAAAAAAAAAAAGGAGAATAAAAAAATCAGTGAATTTGAGGAAGGAAAATGAAAATTGAGTCTGAAAAACACAAAAAAAAAATAAGGAAGAAAAGTAAATAGAGCATAAAGGACCTATGGGACACCATCAAGTGGATCAACACACACGAGGGAGTTCCAGAGAGAGAGAAGTAACCAGAGAAAATATTTGAAGAAATAATGGCTGAAAACTTCACAAATGTGATTAAAAAAAAAAAACATGAATATAAATATCTAAGAAGCTCAATGAACTCTAAGTAAGAAGAACTCAGAGAGACCCACTCATTATAATCATACTTTGAAAGGCAAAGACATCACTGTTACTCAATGGAGTACTCAAAGTTCTAGCTATCAGACAAGAGAAAGAAATAAAGGACATCCAAATTGGAAAGGAAGAAGTCAAATTATTCTTGTTTGTAGATGATATGATCTTTTAAGTAGAGAAACCTAAAGACACCACACACACACACACACACACACACACACACCCCTATCAGAACTGATAAACAAATTCAGTAAAGTTTCAGGATACAAAAATCAATATACAAGTATCAGTAGCATTTCTATATGCCAACAACAAATAATCTGAAAAAGAAACCAAGAGAGTAATCTCATTTACAGTAGCCATAAATAAAATACCTAGGAACAAACTTAACCAAAGAAGTGAATGATTGCTACAATGAAAACCATGAAACATTGATGAAAGAAATTGAAGAGGACACACACACACAAAATAGAAAGATATTCCATGCCTATGGATTGGGAGAATAAATATTGTTAAAATGCCCATACTACCCAAAGCAATCTACAGATTTAATGCAATACTCATCAAAAAACTCAATGACATTCTCCATGGAAATAGAAAAAAGAATCCTAAAATTTATATGGAACCACAAAAGATCCAGAATAGCCAAAGCCAAACTGAGAAAAAGAAGAAAACTGTAGGAATCACAATACCTGACTTCAAATCATACTACAGAGCTGTAATAATCGAAACAGCATGGGATAAGCATAAAAACAGACATGTAGACCAATGCAACAGAAGAGAGAACCCAGAAATAAATCCAAACATCTACAGTGAAGTTATCTTCAACAAAGGAGAACACATACAGTGGAGAAAGTCTTTTCAATAAATGGTGCTGGGAAAACTGGATATCCCTTTGCAGAAGAAGAAAATTAGACCTTTATCTCCTGCCATATACAAAAATCAAATAAACATGGATTAAAGACTTAAATCTAAGAACTAAAATTATGAACTACTAAAATAAAACATTGGGGAAATGCTTCAGAACATTGGCCTGGGCAATGATTTCCTGAATAATACCTCCAAAGCACAGGCAACCAAAGCAAAATTGGACAAATGGCATCACATCAAGCTAACAAGCTTCTACAAACCAAAGGAAACAATCAACAAAAGGAAGAGACAACCCACAGAATGGAAGAAAACATTTGTAAACTGCCCACCTGATGAGGGACTAATAACTAGAATATATAATGAGCTCCAACAACTCAATAGGAAGATATCAAACAATCTAATTTAAAAATGGGCAAATGAGCTGAACAGACATTTCTCAAAAGATGATATACAAATTGCCAACAGCTATATGAAAAAATGTTCAACATCATTAATCAGGGAAGTGCAAATAAAACCACAATGAGATATCATCTCTCCCCTATTTGAATGACTGTTATTAAAAGATAAAAAAAAAAATAACAAATCCTGGCAAGAATTTGGAAAAGGGGGAACTTTCATACACCGGGTTTTGTTTTGTTTTGTTTTTGAGACAGAGTCTCACTGTGTTGCCTGGGCTTGAGTGCAGTGGTGTCAGCCTAGCTCACAGCAACCTCAAACTCCTGAGCTCAAGCAATCTTCCTGCCTCAGCCTCCTGAGTAGCTGGGACTACAGGCATGCACTACCATGCCCGGCTAATTTTTTCTGTATTTTAATTGGCCAATTAATTTTTTCTATTATTAGTAGAGACGGGGTCTTGCTCTTGCTCAGGCTGGTCTTGAACTCCTGAGCTCAAGCAATCCTCCCGCCTCAGCCTCCCAGAGTGCTAGGATTACAGGTGTGAGCCACTGTTCCCAGCCAAGCACTATGATTTTGATTATAGCTTTATCATAAAGGATACAAATCAGGACCAGCCAAATAAAGAGACACATAGGATACCTTCTGAAAGGGTTCCAACCCTGAAATTTCCATGTCCTCAAGATGCATCACCTTCCTGGCACATCAGCATATGATTATCAACCAAGGAAGTTCACTCAAGCTTCAGGTGTCTAGGATTTTTATTTGATTCCTCAATCTCAAGCTCCACAAGCACATGTGCCTCAACACAGATAACTGGCTTATTACAGATAATTTGGCTAGTCAACGTTCCTTATCACTACAAAAATCCTATACAGTAATAATAATTTTGCTGTGTTTCTTAACCACCAAATACACAATTCCATACCATTTATAGCATCTAGATCATTATTTAACCTGAATGCCCAAAATACCGATCATTAGTACCACCCTAGTTAGTGGTTGGCACCTGGAAGAGCCACAGATTGCCAACGAAAGATATAAAAGACCTTCAAATGTTACCAGTGAGCCCTGGGTTGAGGCAGTATTGGGGATGAAACATATGCTCCACTGAATGCCACCCCAAACTGGAAGATGTCTTCCTTAGCATATTCAAAATCTTTATCTACCCTGTGGAAGCTCATGTATACTCATACTCATGCTGTCTTCTACTGATCCACTCTAAGCATGGTCCATCTCAACCCTAAACCACCTTCATATAATATCTCCCAACCCTCAAAATCCAGGCTGAGAAGTCAGAGCACAAAGAAGTATTAAAAACCTGCTAGTTAGGCCGGGCACAGTGGCTCATGCCTATAATCCTAGCACTCTGGGAGGCTAAGGCAGGCTGATTGCTCAAGGTCAGGAGTTCGAAACCAGCCTGAGCAAGAGCGAGACCCCGTCTCTACTATATATAGAAAGAAATTAATTGGCCAACTAATATATATATAGAAAAAATTAGCTGGGCATGGTGGCACATGCCTGTAGTCCCAGCTACTCGGGAGGCTGAGGCAGGAGAATTGCTTGAGCCCAGGAGTTTGAGGTTGCTGTGAGCTAGGCTGACACCACGGCACTCACTCTAGCCTGGGCAACAAATTGAGACTCTGCCTCACACACACAAAAAAAACAAACCAACCTGCTAGTCAGTACCTTGGCTCCCTCTATAATTAATATTGTGGAGAGGTTTGGGGGCCAGAAGAATAGTCATGGGGGGCATCAGCCTCCCACCTCAAACAAACCCTAGATCCTCACCAGAGTCTTTCATGGAGCTACACCGATGGTGTTGAGTGGGGAGCTAAGGGAAGAGGGGTGAACCTTTGCAGCACTCATCTTGGACACCCTTTCATTTATTCCTGTTCATTCTTTCTCACTCTGAACTCTGTCCCTGCTTCCATCTGACTACAAAACTTTGGCTCACTACACCCTAAACTTTGAGCCTGCCTCTGGCCCTTTCATCTTGGTATTCAAACCAGATGTTCCCATGAAATGACTTTTGTCTTTTCCTAATGGATTTTTTCTGATTTAGTACACCCTTTGATCTCTGATCTTCTGTTGCTGTCTAAGAAAGCCTGATAAGCCCATCATAGCCTGAGAGGAGAGAAGAAAGGCAACTCACATGTTTGGGGGCAGCAAAGACTGGCTAATTTGCAATGGTGTTTATTTGTCAAGAAGGCAAACAAACATTTATATACCACTTATTATGGACCAGGAAGTAGTCTAATGTTTTTCGTGTCTTTATTCATTTAATCCTCACTATTTGAACTTCCTCTTCGAGGCAGGTTTTTTTATTTTTTACAGATTAGGAAACCAAGACTCAAAGACATTGAGGTGGCACCTGGGCATATTTCATATTTTAAGCTGAAGGAATTTGAGAAAAAAACAGAAGCAGGGAGGCCACTCTCACCTTTCCCCCACCACTCTACCTTTCTTTCATGAAGCAGGTCATAAAACCTAGGGAGGATTTTCTGACCTTCCTCTGAAGTCTTAAGACCCTCATGTAAGAGGTGCCTTCTCTCTACCTGAAAGACATAAGGACACAGAAGAATCTGAACACACAGGCCTTGCTAAGTTTCCCCCAGTGTATTGCCATTAGATCATACCCTTTTTGCCCTATCATATTTCTCCACAACTATCTACTCTTCATCAAACCTACTATTTAAAAACAAAAAAAGCAAAGTTTAACTGTGTCTTCATATTTTATCTCTTTGTGAAGGCTCACATAAAAATTATATCAAATAAATTTGGAGCCGGGCATGGTGGCTCACTCCTGTAATCCCAAGTGCTAAGGCAGAAGGATTGCTTGAGGCCAGGAGTTTGAGACCAGACTGTGCAACATAGTGACACCCCCATCTCTACAAATAATTTTTTAAAAATTAGCCAGGTGTAGTGATGCACGCCTGTAGTCCTAGCTACTTGGGAGGCTGAGGCAGGAGGATCACCTGAGCCCAGGAGTTCAAGGCTGCTGTGAGCTTTGACTGTGCCACTGCACTCCAGCCTGGGTAGCACAGTGAGACCCTGTCTCAAAAAAAAAAAAAAAAAGTTTTTAAATAAAAAATAAATTTGCTACCCTCAGTCTGTTCTAAGACCATGCATAAATAAATAAGTATGCACGCTTTTCTCTTATTAATCTGTCTTTTATTGTAGGGACCTCAACCGTGAACCTAAGATGGGTAGAAGGAAAGAATGTTTCCTTCCCTATAAGGTAAAGTAACTTTCCCAACAATACACTAGCAAGTGGCAAAGCTTGGGTCTGAACATGGGATCTGAATTTAGAACCCCCCACCTATATCCATTGTGCAGCATATTTATATCACCTGACTCTCCAACCAACTTATTAACCTGGGCCTTGTCTGAAAAGTAATGGATTCCCTATTTTTTTGTATGTGATTAAAATAAATGTTTTTCCCTCAGATATACACATAGCTTATTCCCTAACATCTATATGGAATAAATTATGGGCCCCTCCCAAAATTGACATGTTGAAACCCTAATTCCCAACATTCAATGCAGTGTCCTGCACATAGTAAGCAATTGATAAATAAATGACAGTAGGGAAGAAAGTCTGGCGTTGACTGAGTCCACCTTGTCTCATCAAACTCCATAGGACAGGAAGGAGACAGGGCTGGAGCAAAAAAGAGAGACCTGGTTTGTCCTTAGAAATGGGGTCAGCATGACGACAAATAGCAACGTCAACAGAAGATCAGGGTAGCCAGAGTCAGAAAGGAAAATGGAGCCAAACCTAGGAGGCATCTGAAGTTATTAAAAACCAAAGAGCATCAAGGCAGCCAAGGACTAATTCTGCCATATACTTGGAAGTTAAGCCTCATGGCTCTTGCTCCTGCTTGCTTCACCCGTTCAAGTGTTGCCTCCAGAACGCTCTTTTGACCTTAGCCCATGCAGGATTGTTGGTGATCTAGGGAATGATACACAAGTCTACTTAGCTCCTTCAGAAGTTTCCTTCCCTCAAAGAGCCTGAAGGTCCTGGAAAAGAAAATTCTTACCATGCTCCCTCAGGCCCTGCTGGAAATCTCTTGATTTGGCCGAGCTTCCTCCACTGTCCATCTCTTTATTTGCCACTTGCATTTCACCTTTCCCCCTGGTCTCTTTTGATGGCATCTTAGTTGTGGTTTCACTCCTGGATGCTGCCTCTTGAATTCACTTAAATGCTTTATTGACAAGTCTCTGAGCAACTTAACCCGGCATCTGGGGCTTCTGCCCCTGCGGGAGGGGATTTAGGGGAAGGAAATAGAGAAAGATTCTGTAACACACCCCTTCCCCAGCCACCTCCCCCACTCACAGCTTCTCCTTGACACTTGGGTACTGCCCCCCCCCAGGGTCATTCTACCCTATTTTGTGCTGCACAAACTCCATTGTCATGCTCACCCCCAAACCACCATCAGTCATAACTCTTGAAAAAAAATTTATGAAGAAAGCCTAAACCTAAAATCTCTCCTGAAATGTGGCTAAATCTTGCACCAGTTCCTTAAGTAGAAAGAGGCTTACCATTAACAAGAGTTTTGAACTTAACCTATAGAAACTACTTACAATATGAGAAAGGGGTTGGGTAATTTTTTTTTTTAACTCCACAGAGTATGGGACAAAATCCTGTATTTACTTCAAGGCCAGTCAAGTAGAAGGGACTCCTTATTCTAATCCAAAATGAAAAGAGAAAAATGCTCCTCCCAAGATAGAGGTTGTTTGTGGTAGTGAAAGGAGAAGCAAAAAGATCAGTTTTGGGGATTAGTGGATGAAAAGAAAGAGCGAGCCAGGAGCTACCATAGCTGAGCAAGGAAGGCTCTCAGCTTCTCACAAGGACCCATCCCCCAAAACCCAAACTCTGAAAGCCTCTAGCTCTAGACCTCATTACCTTCCTCCCAATCATCTTGTAGGGGGAATTCCCTGCCCTAAGCTACAGAGGTTCAGAAGAGCCAGAAGGTAGAGAAGCATCCTTAGCTGGACCCCTGAACAATTTTCCCTGTAAAAATATTGTTCATCAGGTAGCAAGTCCTGTAGTTCTATCAGAATTCTACTTCAGAGCATTATGGGTTTATCATAGCTAACCACCATGCATAATGTGGTTACCATGGAGAATGCATTCTGAGTTCCACATAACTCACTTCTACAAATGAACCACTGGAATTCTGACATGAGGACTGCTTGTGCAACTCTCAGATGAGAAAGGAAGATACACTGATGTCTTTTGGGACTGTTTAGGTTCATAAGACAATGAACAATTATGTGTCCTTTTTGTTTGAGAGCTTTCTTATATTGCCTTTTGATCATCCTGGAGATCAAGAAATATGTTCCCTTCCTTCTGGCCAGGTCTTAAAAGATTCTGAGGCCTCTGGCCAGCACATTCATTGATTCCTATGGAGTCAAAGCAAAGATTGTGCGCGTGTCAGTTGCTTAGAAATTTAAGGGAACAAGTAAAAGTCGGAAGGAAGTTTAATTTTAGCTTCTTTGGGCTTTTTGATCATGACAACTTCTACAGTATCTGATAAAAGTACCCTTCTTTACTGAGGTTCAGAGAGTTTGGTTAATCTAAATTCAGATTATTAAACTTCATTTTCACTGCTGTAGCATAGTTGTGTGCATGTGTGCGAGATAGAGAAAATGACTCATGCAGTCTTCTCAGTGAAGCTGAAAGTCTAGTTAATTGTGAAAAGATGCCATTACTATGTAAGCTCCAGCTCATTGTTTATATGCAAGCTAGCCACCAAATCATATTTATCTTTGGGGGGGGGTGTCCTTAGCAAAATAATGAAATCAACTTCTAGCACATAGGGATATTTCCACACTGAAAGTTTTTCTAAAAAAAAAAAAAAAAACCATGATTTGAAAATAGCTAGAGATGAAACAGGATTTCTCATATAATGCTTTGGTAATGGATTCCCTCTCCCTGTCCTCCCCGACAAAGTCTTGTGCTGTCGCCTGGCTAGAGTGCAGTAGAAGGATAATAGCTCACTGCAACCTCAAACTCCTGGGCTTGAACAATCCTCCTGCCTAAGCCTCCTGAGTAGCAGGGACTACAGGTGTGTACCACCACACCCAACTATATCCTGCAAATATTTAAAGATCATAAGTGTGAAGATAGTGATAAAGTCCAATAAACCTCTATATTATACATTTGAGCATTTGCTATATGCTAAGGACTTTACATATATTATCTCCTTTAATCACTAAAGCTCTTTGAAAAAGGAATTAATATTCCCATTTTACAAATGAGAAAAATCAAGGGAGAGATTAAGGAAGTTGCCCAAGTCTTCACAGCATGCAAATGACAAAATGGATATTTGAATCCTGGTCCATCTGACTCAGAGCTACTCTGCTGTCTCCCAAATGGCAGAAGTTGTGTTGTCACTACTGAATGCTAGCCATCATTACCAAGGATTGCCCAGGGGCTTCTTTCTAGTGCAACGTCATACACAAAGCAATCCCAAAGGTTTTTGGAAAGAGGTCACTTGCTAGAGGAAGACATTTTTTAATATTATCACCAGTAAGAAAAAAATCCCTAAAATTAAAATAATAGGTACTTTTTGTACAATATACATTCTCTAAGCAAGCATCTTTTAGAAAAAGAGTATGAATAGCGCTGTCTACATAAAGAACAGGCACAATGTCTTGTAGGTATACAAATGCCCTGCTTGGGGCTGGGGGAAATAGGCAGAAGCAAATGGGCATGCACGTGCATGCTCACACACATACACAGCACCTGCTACCACCGAGAGAAAGGGAGGCATGGTTGTATGTTAGTCCCACCTCTAGCCTTGTGCAGAAGCATGTTAATATCAGGAGGCTGATCTGAGCCAGCTCATTTCATAATCCTCTCTTGAGGCTGTAGCTGAACTGTGTGGAAGTTTGGATCACTCCCCCAACTTCCCTCAGGATAGCCGAAAAGCTCTAGAGGCATCAACACATCCTCCTGGCAGATGAGCAATGCCTATCAGTTCTTGTGGGGGGACCTTCATTATCCCCCTCTAACAATAGCTGCATGGGCTTCAAGAGCAGGGTCATCACCCTCCATGTGTCCTGAAATGCAGTATGTTAGAAATGGAATCAGTTTACACATACCAGCACTCCTCCCCCCATTTTCCAACTAAAGCCTAGAAGATATTCATAAATCATTATGACTGTTTGATTTCAGAGAGTTTTGCTGAATTGCCTCTAAATTTCTCTGGGTGTATGAATAGAGATAGACTTGTCCCCCCACAGCAGCTGCTAGCCCTAGTATCTCTGAAAGCAGGGTCTGCATTTCCATCCCAACCTCAGCTGATTGGGTGGGCCCAGCAGAAACTTGTCCTCAGGGCTCTGAATTTTCCTTCTGTGATGGCTTATTCCCTAGGCCCAGGGACTAAAGAAAAGCAGAACCATTGCCTTGTTGCCAAGGCAACCAAGCAGATTGCTGTGAATCCACTAGCTCATAACAAAATGCTCAATTTGTCTTTGCAGGGAGGCAGAGGTTATTCTAGCTAGGGTAAAAGTTAGATTCCAAGTAGTCAAAACTGGAACAGTATTTGCCATGTGGTATCAGGAGGTCAGATGGGCCAACTAAGTCAGAATCCATTAGAGAAAGCATTTGTTTGAAAGCTGGCAAGACTAAGTGCTAATATGCAACCCAAAGGCCAGAGGTTGGGATTACAGAATATGAATCAGGCAAAGTTTATAAAAAGGTAGAGAGCAAATGAAGGTATCCAAGGGCACTGCTGTAAAAAAACTCAGCATGTTTGTGAATGAGGCAAAGACATCATGAAAGACCAAAGGATGTACAGCCAGATTTGTCAGCCTCATAGCAAAGCATGCAGCCTTCTACCTCCTGCCAAGAAGAACAGGTCCTGTTTCTGGTTCCAGCCCAGGGGTGTGCATCAGTGAGTCATATTAATATTATAGAAAAGCTCCTTCCTCAGGGATTTGACATCACCTTGGCTACATCCTCATACTTTGGCCTACTTTAACCTCTGCTTGACCACAGACTAGCTAAAATCTCAAGCTCCTTGTTGCAGAAGGTCTTCCTGTCCCAAAGTTCTGCAGATAAATATTAGACAAGGTCCCAAGTCAGCTCCCATTAGGAGCTGTTACTATTGGGAGGCTCAAGCCTATTGCAAGATTGCAGATCTAAATGCAATCTGACTGGCAGACAACCATGCCAATAAAACAAAAATCCAAACACCCTATCATATCTTCAGGTTTGGCTCATCAATTTCATCTTATTACCAGTTTCCCGTGCCTACTCCGTGTTAGGTTTGCTCAGAGTGGGAACCCAGAAAGTATGTATAGGACTGAATGTAGTTAATGGAAAACTTAGATAGTAATTTAAGTCCTGTAAAACAATAGCCACAGGAGTCTGGAGAGCCCGGAGGTTGTAAATCTAACTCTGACCACAGGCAGTTGTGGAACCGGTTAATGTTCAGGAAAAAAAATTCACCCTCCCCAAACTTCCATCCAAACCTCCTATAAAACCCACCGCTCTCCCCTTCCTGATGGGGATGCTCTTTTTAGCCTCTACCCCTCTGCACCCAGATGCTCAAATAAACAGCATTTTGCTACACATGAGGCTTCGTGTGTTTTTCCCTCTTGGCTTTGGACTTTACACCCCCATCCAGCCTCAATAATCTTTTTGTTCCTTGATCACACTCTAATACCACCCTGAGACTCATACACTTTATAAAGTTCCATCTAGCCTTCCTCCAGCAAATCCCTCCCTATAGGGTGAAGGCCACAAGCCAAGGGACATGCCTACCAATACCCAGTACCTCCCACCCTTCTAGATCACACTTGGGATTCCTGGGACCACAGAGTGCTCTGTCCAATTCTCAAGAATTCTTCTAGGGCCCACAAGGACCTCTTCCCTAAATCTATCCTCCTGAGGGACCCACTCTCTAGACTCTGTTACACGGCATCTCATGGAACAAATGAAATAGAAAACAATTATTGAACAGAGAAATAAAGTGACTCAACAGGTTTGGTTAGTTCTGCTCAGAAAAATAGGGTTAAATTAAAAGCAGTACCTTCAGCTGTGCCCTAAGGTCACCTCATTAAGGCTTTGTTAAATCAGAAAGCCTGGGAACCTCAGAGCTCAAGTTTCCCCAGCAGAGGCCTTTAATTCTTGCCTTTTTTGTTGAAAATCCAGGAACTTGCTTCAGGTCTTCTAAATATATCCAGAGGTCTGAGAATTAAACTCAGCATTTCACAGGTTGGCTGTTGAATTAATGCTGCAACACAACCTTGGTTGTTGATGGTAAAGACTGTGTCCTTAAAATATTCCTCAAATCAGAATGCCAATCATATTTGGCTTCTGTTGCAAAGATTTGAATATTTAGTACTTGCCATCTTAAAAACTGCTGTTCATGAACACTGGCTTGCTGACACATATTAAATGATAAATGTAAATAAAAATCAGATATTATGTGGCTATTCAAAAATCTATACCTCCAAGCAATATTAATTAAGAATTAGAAAGTTAATTTATAGGCTAAGACATCTGGCTGGTTATGCAGGGGGAAATAGAAATTATATTTCTACTGTGTAAATATTTTTCATTGCAATCTCTGGTTAACTTTTTTTTTTTTTTTTTTTTTTTTTTTTTTTTTCTCACTTTTTGTTGCCCAGGCTAGAGTGAGTGCCGTGGCGTCAGCCTAGCTCACAGCAACCTCAAACTCCTGGGCTCAAGCGATCCTCCTGCCTCAGCCTCCCGAGTAGCTGGGACTACAGGCATGCACCACCATGCCCGGCTAATTTTTTGTATATATACTTTTAGTTGGTCAATTAATTTCTTTCTATTTTTTTAGTAGAGACGGGGTCTCGCTCAGGCTGGTTTCGAACTCCCGACCTTGAGCAATCCGCCCGCCTCGGCCTCCCAGAGTGCTAGGATTACAGGCGTGAGCCACTGCGCCCGGCCTGGTTAACTTTTAAGTTAAAAATCTATCAATTTTCACAGAAATAGTAGAGAGAAACTGTCTTTCAAAACCTCAGCTTACCTACATACTTATGTTCCTCTTTCTACAGTCAACCACCTGCTTGGATAAGGAGAGTGTGAAGGTCATT